AAAGGGAGCCTGGCGAGCGAGACTTCGGAACTCTTTGATGTTTGTCATCTCGCTTGCTCCTTCATTCTTTCTTGCTCTCGCTTTTGTCGATTCTTCAGCATCGGGGATTTTTCCTTATGTACAAAATATAAACATTTTATAAAATAAAAACTGAAACTTACATCTTGGATGTTATTAGTATGAATATAATTATACTGGATTAATGAGATTCTTGCGATAAAAATGATACTAAACACGACATAAATCGTATAATTTTTAATGAAATAAGTAATCATGTCATAATTACATACATAATTGATTAAAAATAATCCAATTTATGTCTTGTTTGGTATCATTTTAATCGCAAGAAACTCATTAATCCATTATATTATAATTCACACTAATAAAATCCAAAATGTAAGTTTCAGTTTTTATTTTGTAAAATGTTTATATTTTGTACATAAGGAAAGATCCCCGATGCTATAGAATCGGCAAAAGCGAGAGCAAGAAAGAATGAAGGAGCAAGCGAGATGACAAACATCAAAGAATTCCGGAGTCTCGCTCGCCAGGCTCCCTTTATCTGTAATCTTTGACGTGTATATGTCATCTTATTATAGAAAATAAAATCTCTGTATTTCGCATTTTATATATCTGAAAATAATTGTAATGGATTAATTACATTTTTGCGATTAAAATGACACTAAATATAACATAAATCGGATTATTTTTAATGAAATAAGTAATCATAATTTCAATTATATAATTGATTAAAAATTATCCGATATCGTGTTTCGTATTATTTTAATTGGTAAAATATCATGAATTCATTGTAATTATTTTCGGATCAAGAAGCGCAAAAAACAAAAATTTTACAGTAACGATATATAACGCGATAACGCGAGAGATTATAGATAAGCGAGCCTCGCGAGCGAGACTTCGGAAGTCTTTCATGCTAGCTATCTCGCTTGCTCCTCATTCGTTCTCTCTCTCTCTCTCTCTCTCTCTTTCTCTGCTTGTTCTTTATTGTATTCTTTCATTCCCATTATTATAATCTTTTATTTGTTCGACTTTTATTCTTTCTATTCTTGTTTTCCTACATGATAATAAATTAATTTATTCATCTTTATTTTATAAACCATAAATAAGATATTGTATATTTTATAAATAAAAAAAGGATTATGTATGTGTGCGTGTGCGTGTGTACTTTTGTATGTGCATGTGTTGTATTTAACTAAAGTGAAACGTAATTATGTATTGTTTTAACTATATATAGTGAAATAAAAAAAGAAAATAACGTATTATATATCTCATTTATGCTGTATAAAATAAAAATAAATAAATACATTTATTTATTTTTATGTAAGGAGACGAGAATAGAAAGAATAAAAGTTGAGCAAATAAAAGAATATAATAATGGGAATAAAAGAATACAATAATGAACGAGCAGAGAGAGAGAGAGAGAGAGAGAGAACGAATGAGGAGCAAGCGAAATAGCTAACATGAAAGACTTCCAAAGTTTCGCTCGCGAGGCTCGCTTTATCTATAATCTCTCGCGTTATATATCATAACTGTAAAATTTTTGTTTTTCGCGCTTATTGATCCGAAAATAATTACAATGAATTAATGATATTTTACCAATTAAAATAATACGAAACACGAAATCGGATAATTTTTAATCAATTATATAATTAAAATTATGATTACTTATTTCATTAAAAATAATCCGACTTATGTCATATTTAGTGTCATTTTAATCGCAAAAATGTAATTAATCCATTACAAATATTTTCAGATATATAAAATGCGAAATACAAAGATTTTATTTTCTATAATAAGATGACATAAACACGTCAAAGATAAAGGGAGCCTGGCGAGCGAGACTTCGGAACTCTTTGATGTTTGTCATCTCGCTTGCTCCTTCATTCTTTCTTGCTCTCGCTTTTGTCGATTCTATAGCATCGGGGATCTTTCCTTATGTACAAAATATAAACATTTTACAAAATAAAAACTGAAACTTACATTTTGGATGTTATTAATATGAATATAATTATAATGGATTAATGAGATTCTTGCGATAAAAATGATACTAAACACGACATAAATCGTATAATTTTTAATGAAATAAATAATCATAATTACATAATACATAATTGATTAAAAATAATCCAATTTATGTCATGTTTGGTATTATTTTAATCGCAAGAAACTCATTAATCCATTATATTTATATTTATACTAATAAAATCCAAAATGTAAGTTTCAGTTTTTATTTTGTAAAATGTTTATATTTTGTACATAAGGAAAGATCCCCGATGCTATAGAATCGACAAAAGCGAGAGCAAGAAAGAATGAAGGAGCAAGCGAGATGACAAACATCAAAGAGTTCCGAAGTCTCGCTCGCCAGGCTCCCTTTATCTGTAATCTTTGACGTGTATATGTCATCTTATTATAGAAAATAAAATCTCTGTATT